AAATCAGCCTAGTGCTGAGTGTAGGTGGCCCACCTAAGGAAAGTTGCCAGCATAAAAGGAGATGTGGAAAGGAAGAGTAGTGTTGTGGGTTCTCCCAGAGGAACTTGTCACGCTGGCTCCCCTGTTATGAACAAGGCCATTACCATTGGAGAGGCTCGGGACTTTGTCACTGAGAGTGGCTGCAGTTCACTTTGGGGGAGCTCTGGTCCTTACATTGAGCATTGCTTCCTGGCTCCAGAGGGAAAGACATGTGCTGTTTAATCTCCAAGAGAAGCTTGTCACACTGGCTTCCTGATATGTACTCAGCTGTTCTCATTGGCAGAGGAGCTCAGCACCTCACTGTCACTGAGGATGGCTGAGGTACTTTTCAGGGGACCTCCGGTCCTTATTCTAAGCATAAATATTATCAAGAGTAGCAAATTAACAGTTTATGAGAATGACAAGTTGGAATGTAAATTTACTAATTTATAATCCAGTATATTTATTTATTTATTTATTTATTTTGGTCTTTTTCGTTTTTACCGGTACCAGGGATCGAATTCACGACTGCCTGCTTCCAAGGCAGGCGCTTATGCCGCTGAGCTAAATCCCCAGCCCCCAGTGCTCATTCTTTCTGAACTCAATATTCATCTATTCCTCAAAGTTGTCTTACATATCATCCACAGAGCTCACTGTACTAAAGTCACTATTTTTGTTTAAATATAATGAAGCAAACATAATTTGTAATAGAAAATGTAGCTGGGAATAATCCCAATATTCTGGGAAGCTGAAAAGAATAAAAAATTCAAGCCCATCTTGGGCAACTTAGTACTTAGTGAGACCCTGTGTAAAGATAAAATGATTAGGGATGCAGCTTGGGGTGAAGGCTAACAGTGGCAGGCTTACATTGGCCACTTGTAGAGTCACAGGAGAAAGAATGCAAAAAGGTCATTTTTGCACTGAAGAGCCAGAGGATCTAGACAAAAGCCTAAGGCCTGGAGCTCCTGTGCGAGTTAATATCAGAAGCCAAAGAGTCCAAAAGGCTGGATGTCCAAAGGCTGTGGCAAATACTGGAGCTACTCTGCAGAAGCAAAGTGAGATTTCCTCCTTCTCTCCCTTTTTATTCCATCCAGTCTACAAGCCTATCAGTTGGTGCCACCCACACCAGGTTGGGTCTCCCCTCTTCAGTAAATCAGTATCCAGAGACACCTAGAACTGTGCTAAACCAATCTGCTAGGCGCTTCTTATTTAAGTTAGCACTACAAGTAACTATCAGAATCCACCCTTTCTCAACATGATAACCAGACACATTTCCTTGTATCATACCTAGACTCCAGATATGATAGGAAGTTTATATTATGCTTAACGAGATACAACTATCCTGCATACAAAAGGAACTGCACTAATTCCCTCCTGAGAACAGAAAGCAAATTTTTTCTTTTGGTGATGTTTACTGCTTACACCACTTAAACAATGAACAATGTAACATTATAAGTTTTATAACTTAAAAGGACATTTCATAACTTAAACACTATAATATAGGTTTAACAAAACTTTAAGAACCAATACTAAGTCTATCAACATTGTTATAATGGAAGACAATAAAGATACCTGATTGTGTACTCACAAGTATATTAACGAAATAGGAGAGGACATAAATTACAATCCTCATTGTTGTACCTGGTATTTACAACTATCTTCTAAGTACCCATTCTTTATTCCCTAGGCCTCAGCAAGCCCTAAGCAAGTCTTGGTTCTTTTCCTGCCAAAGCAACCCGTGCTTTCCTTTTTGAAGGTTCTGGGCCATTTTTCATCTGGTCTGGATTGATCCTTTCCCCCCTGATCTTCTAAGGGATCCCCTACACCTCCAGTATATTATGCTTGTCCTCTATTATGGAATAATAGTCCAATTTTCTGTTGACAGTCTGAATCCACCACACATCAACACAATTACTCCCTTTTTTTTTTTTTTTGTCTTATTTCTTTTTATCGGTACTGGGGATCAAACTCACGACTGCCTGCTTTTTTTTGGTCTTATTCCTTTTTATCGGGTACTGGCGATCAAACTCACAACTGCCTGCAGGCACTTACGCCGCTGAGCTAAATCCCCAACCCCTGTTTTTAGCTTGTTTAATGAGAGGTTTGTGGAACCCAAAATGACCTTAGCTACAAGTTCAATGGCTTTATTGTTTCTCCCTCTAGAAGTAACACTTCTAGGTCAGCAGGATGTAAGTTTATGGGAATAAAAGTAGAAATTTTTCTGGTGGATCAGTAAGAGAATGGTGAGTGGTACCATTTCCACTTTTATCCCTTAGTTCCTGACCCGTGAATTCTGGTTATGGGAGACACAGTGGACTCTGACGCAAAGAATATACAACCTTCTGGAGAACTTTGCCCCAGTCCTGCAAGGCTCTGCTGTTATAGGCAGCTCAGTCAGATAAGAACATTACAGGCAGTCAGACAGAGCTGAACCCTCAAAGGAGTCAGCACCTTGCAACTGTGGGAGAGACAGGCGCCTCCTCTGCAGGCCAAAGCTCAAGAAATAAAGCAAATGGACTCAGGATAAACATCAGGGATGGATATTCTAAGCACATATCCCCACTTGATCCTAATTTAATCAATATTACCCGATATAATCAATATTATGCTAGTGATCTTATTGGTTGACCACAGTTGTGTCCCACCTCATGCCTGTTTTGCAAGTTCCCATTTTTCCCCACCTTGGACCTGCCTCACATTATGGATCTATTTTCTAAAATCCCTAGAGAAGGCAGAGTCCTTGGCAACCCACTCTTTTATCTCTCTCTGCGTTTTTTGTTTGTTTGTTTGTTTTGTACCAGGGATCAAATTCACAACCTCATGCTTGCCAGGCAAGTGCTTACACCGCTGAGCTAAATCTCCAGCCCTAACAGATTGTTTTCTTTCCCCATTAAATGTATTGTGCTCTTTAAATAAAACAACAACAGAATTGCAAACAAGCCTCTGCCTTACAGAACTCGGGGTGGAGCTGTGACAGAGCTGCCTGTTTCTTATTTCACAGCCTGCATTTAATTCCCAGCGCTGCCTTTAAACAAAAGAGAAGAAAAAACTCACTTCACAAGCATGCATGCCTTGGAACTAATACCCAGAGTTAAAAGCACCATTCCTGCTGGGGCTGTAGACTGTAGCCCTTAGTCCCAGCAGTATCCATAAATTGAGGCCAGCCTGGGCTACACAGAGAGATCTATCTCAAAAATTAACACAAACGGTGAAATTTATGCTGTGAATTATTTAAAAAGCAATGTTTCATTATATTTGCTATAGACAACAAAAGATTTGGGACTTTCAAGATGCCATGTTTCATGCTTATGTAAACAGACATTTATCCAGGCAGCTGAAATTCGGTCTGGAATGATTTGTCTGGCTGAATTGCTGCCCGTTTTTGACATTTCAAGTTATCAGACCTGTAAAACCTACAAATAGTTTTGGGATGCTTTCACTAAAAGGCATACCAATAAGCAGCGGCCATGTCCTAGACCAGCTATTGTCAAAACCCCTCCCGATGCCCAGAGCAACTACTGCGAAACACTGCCCTGCACAGCGCCATTTAGTGCTGCGGGGGAAGCTGTGTGCACCTCGGGGATTCAGAACAAGGCCACTGCTTCTCGTGAGTTTGGCATTTCTGTCTCATCTCACTCCCCTTAAACGCTCCATGAACTCTTCCTGTGCTGGTTGTGTGAGTAAAGACACTTGGTTGTTGGGCTCCTGACCTTCCCCACCTTGACCTCAGCTTTCTGCATCCTGACTCTTGTTCTAGTTTCTTCTCCCTCCACTGTCTCCCTCCTGAGTTTGAAGAGCTAAGCAGGGCGCAGCAGTTCACTTCCCCCAGGAGCTCCATGAGGCGTTCATGAAATATCTAATTTAATCCTACAGGCAACTCAGTGTGATATTACTGTCACTGTTTTACAAAGTAGGAAATGGAAGCTTAAGAAATTCCAGGAATTTACCAACATCCAGAGCTAGCAAACCTCGGACCACTATGCACCAGCGAACAGCGCAGAACAGTGCCAGGAATCTGCCCAACGTAGGTTAGCTTGATTTAATGGTTTTAAGTGTTTAACGTAAAGTGTTTAACGATATCCCTGAGAAGGCTTTGTCAAAATACATACTGTGCTACTGATCTCAGCACGATGGGAAGCTGAGGCAGGAGGACTGAAAGCTAGCCAGTCCTTGCGTCAAAAACAACAAAACAAAAAGGACCGGGAAGATAGCTCAGTGCGAAGGCCATGCTGCCATCCCCAGTGCTGGGAAAAAACAAGACAATCCCCAGATTGCAGTGTCCCCTCGTGTGGTTCCACTCAGAATTTGGGGTGGGGGCCAAATATTTGCATTTCTAACTCCTTCCCAGGTGAAATGGACGCGCTAGCCACTAAACTTTGAAAGTCATTGTTTAAAGGTTTTCGTTTTAAATCCACTGGGGAAAATTCCAGGCGCTCTGGCGGACGTCAGTTTTGGAGTCACCTCCTACATAAGTTTGGGGCGTGGGTCCAGGCTTTCCAGGTTCTTCGGAGATCCACTGCTTTTCCCTCCCGCCGCATCACAGCGCCGGCCACGCCGCCTCTGCCTATTGGTTCATTGAGCCCGCGGCTGCCCCGCCCACAGCTCATTCCCCAGTCCCCCCAGGCTGGGCTGCTGCTGCCCGAGCAGAGGATCCGAGACGTGGCTCCCGGGTTAAGGAACTATGTTGGACTTCGCGATCTTCGCCGTGACCTTCTTGCTGGCGTTGGTGGGAGCAGTCCTCTACCTCTACCCGGTAACCCATCTCGGCTCTCGGAGGAGTTCTGAACGCTGTCGCCCGCATCTGCGATGCTCAGCCTCGGGCTGGCGGCGAGGGGCGGGCCTGAGGGGAGGCGCGGGCCAGAGCCCGTCCTGCGGCGCGGCGTGGGAACACGTGCCTATGCGGGTTCACGTGGCGCGGCGCGCGGCCCACGTGGCGCGGCGAGTCCTTTCCGCCCCACCGGCTATTGGGCTGTGCCCCAGCTCTAGCTCCCGCAGAGCGCGCGCTTCCGTCGGCCCCGGGGACGCAGGATAGAAACCCGGGGCGCAGCAGCCCTGGGAAGTTCTGCGCGCGGGGCGCTGGCCTGGGGGATGGAGAGGTCCCAGGATGGAGTCCAGGACTCCACAGAGCTTAGAGGTTGAGGAGGGCGAGAGAGGCGCCAACCAAAGAAACTGAGAAGCAGCGAACAGAGAGATACCAGGAGGCCAAATGTTTGGAGTATAAAGGGAGCAATCAGCTAAGTCGATTGTCGCAAATAAGTGAATTAAGGCGTGAAAGTTTTATCACGTACCCGACCTGAGAACACTTTCAAAGGTGGGAAGAGCCATTCAGTGGCGTGGGTTTAGAAATATTAAATATAGACAGAGCTCTAGGTGTGTTGTAAAAAGGGGCTGGTAGTGAAGGGAAAGGAAAATAAGGAAATTTTAAAATCCGTTAATGTGTCGATGAGGCCTGTAGTGAGGGGAGAACAAATGCTGAAACGAAGAGTCCCCGGAGCCATGGTCTCCGTGCTGTCAGTTGGGTGGCATCAGGGCTGCGCCCACAAGAGCACACGTGTGAGCACACGTGTGGACGACAGGCCAGGCCGGGGTGAAGTAGCAGTTATCTTCTGGTTGCTCTTAGACACTTTTTTTTTTTTTTTTTTTTTTTTGTCTTTTTCCTTTTTATTGGTACTAGGGATCGAACTCTTGACTGCTTGCTTGCAAGGCAGGCGCTTATGCCGCTGAGCTAAATCCCCAGCCTTCTGGTTGCTTTTAATATAAAAGTGAGGTAGTCAATGACTGGTGAACACAGGAGACTAGAAGAGTGAATGCACTGGGGTCAGTGCGTGATTTCCAAGCAGCACACTTGTTTTATGCTCTTCTGCAAGGTTTTCAGTGGGACTGAGCTCCGTGACCCATTGGGTTATCTTCAAGTAGTCAACATACTTAACTGCCTTCCTCTTTCGACCAACCTTTGTGCTTCCTGCCAGCTTTGTGCTTCCTTAGGTCGTCTATCAAGTTAGCTGCCAAATGACAGTGTGATCCTCAAGTCAGTATGGCTGTGTCTTCCTTTGCCTGTGCTTTTCGCTAACTGTGTGGCTCAGAGGCAAAGTGGATAGAACTTTGGGTTTTATCAGAATTAAAATTTTGCTGATGATTGTGACAAAAGGATAGAGGAAAAAGAAATGGAAAGTATGTGCAAAGAAGTGGAGGTAGTGACAGCATGAAATGTAACTTGGGGGGGGGAGTGGGAAGTGAGTGCCTGAGTAGGTGAGTTAAAAGTTCCTCTAGGGTAATAATCAAGATACTAAGGAAAGATAGGAAGTGATTAGAGATTTGCATGCCTGATATTAAAATTTTGGTGGTGTTGAAGTTGTTGGTAACATGAGACTTAGCATGTGATCATGGCAATGAATTGCTGAGGTAGGATGCAGATTTGAGATGGGAAAGAGTTAGGTCAGGGAAGATGAACTTCTGTAGAAACAGTGTCTAGGCACAGTGGTGGCGAACCTATGGAAAGCGTGCCCCAGATGGCTGTCATGGAGAGCTCTAAAAGTTTGCCATCCTGATGTATGAGAGAAGATTTGAAAGTGGTAGTCCAAGGCTTCCTGTCGGATCTTAACACAAGGAAGAAGGTGGTTGTCAGGTGTGATGGTGCACACTCATAATCCAGCACTTGGAAGACTGAGGCAGGGGATTCGAGGCCAACTTGGGCTAATAGTGTGTCCAAAATCAGCCTGAATTACAGCGCGAGACCCTGCCTCCAAAAAACAAACAAAAAAAATAAAGTAAAAATGCAAAGGACTGGGGTTGTTAGCTCAGTGGAAAGGTCCTGGATTCCGTCCTCAATGATGGGGGAAAGAAAATCACTAAAAAGTATACAACAACAACAAAAAATAAGAAAGTCATAGTAACACTATCCTATCTGGTCTCAAGGTACATGGAAATGGTGAGGCTGTGAGTATTGGAGACATTTTACTAGGTCCAGTACATGCCAACTTGGAGTACCTCACTTTCATTTAGTGGGTTTGGAGATAAAGGACAGGAGAGCATTATCACCCCAAATTTCTGCTAACAAAGTGTGGGAGATAGTACCATAGCAATCATCTTGTTTTTATTTTAATAATATATTTTATTTACCCCAGATATCTAAGATATTATGAGGTCAACATTCAATTGATACAAAAATTAATGATAAATTCCAGCACTTGGGAGGCTGAGGCAGGAAGATCATTGCAAGATCAAGACCAGCCTGGGCTACAGAGTGAGCTCAAGGGGCAAGACCATGTCTCAAAAAAAAAAAAAAAGACAATTTTTTTTTTTTACTTTTTTTGGTACTGCGTTAGAAATGCAATTTATATTTTACATTTGGAGCATTCAGTTCTGATCAGCTACATTTCAGATCCAAGTTAGTTGTGTGTGGCCAGAGACATTTTATACCATTCTCCAGGGTTTGCAGTGAGACTGAGCCCCAGTAATCATTGGGTTACCTTCCAGTAGTCGCCATATCTAAGCTCCTTCCCTTCCTGAGTGCCCTGAAAGGGCACAAACTTTGCCCTCTCTGCCAGTGCTTTCTTTGATCGTCTGCAAAATTAGGTACGTGTTCTTAAATCCTGATTTCCAAGTCAGTTCCCAGAGCTCAACTGAAGATATGACACCATTAAACTTGTCAGCTTTGAAGACAGTCACTTTTTTTTTTTTTTTTGAGGGTCTTACTGCAGTTCAGGCTGCTCTTGAACTGACTTTGTAGCTAGCCCATGCTGTCTTCAAACTTGCAGTGATCCTCCTGCCTCAGCCTCTCTCAAGTGCTGACATTATAAGGCGTGTTCCACCACACCTGGCTCATGTTTTGTATTAGTTTCATTATTCTTTTTTTATATTTTTTTATTACTATATTTGCAGTACCTAATGATGACCTTCATCATGGGGATAGCGGTCACCTCATCCAGAGCACACCAGGCTCGTGCTGAGCTGTGGGAGCCAATTTGGAGGGGTGTCAGCTGTGCTTATTTGCATAGCAGTAGGTCTAACACTTTCTTGCCCCTCAGTAGTCTTTTGCAAATGCTTTTAACATTTTTTGTATAAGGTACCACTTAGTGAGGTCCTCCAGATGGTAAAGAAACATCACCGTGGCTCCCCCTGCCCCACCCCTTGACCACTCCCATGCAGCGCTGGTTGCTGTCCTCTGATGCAGGGCCCTTAGCCTTCCATGGCCATTGTGGGAATCTTTTTACCTGTGTTGCCAGGTGCCATGCAGTTCTCTTTGTCCCCCTCATTTCCTTTATTTGTTGCACTGCATCGTTTCCTGGTAGCTTCCTAAGAGTGCATGGAAGATAAGTTTCATGCGACCTTGCTGTTTGGATAGCTCTGTTCTGTCTTTACATCTGAATGACCTTTTGGCTTGGAATAAAATTCTGTTTTGGAAATCATTTCTCTTCAGAAGTATAGAGGTTACACTCCCATTGTGTTGTTCCTGAATCGGGAATCCGTGACTTCTTCCAGAAGGATTAATAATCACAAGCATGCAGAACACCAGAAGGCCACCTAGACTAGGTAGCAACACCCTGTCCCAAAAAAAGAAGAATGCTTATTACATTTATGTTCCAGATACCTTACTGGGTGTCCTGGAAATAATGACTGCACAAAGCAAAAGACGAATATTGTTGTCTTAGGGTGTTTGGGCTACAGTCACTTCCAATATAGTGAACTGAATGGCTTCGAAACACAGGCCTCATTTCTGCTGGTTACAGAGGCTGAGGTCAGCTCCTGGGGAGAGCATACTTCACTTGGTCCCTGGTGGCTTGTGCTCTGTTCTCATGTTGGTCGGGGAAGAGCTGGTAAGTTCCTCCAATTCTTCCTTCTAGGCACTAATCCCGTAGAGCGGACTCTGCTCCTTGCCCAGTACCTCGAAGGGCCCAGCTGGTGATCCCCTCACTCAGGAGTGAGCTTCAGCCTGTGCATTTGGGAGACACAAACCTTCAGATCACAGCAGTCATGTTGTATTTTGGTAAATTCTTTGATGACAAGGAGCATAATTATTTCAGAATTGAAACTATTTATGAGCATGGACTTTTTTTAAAGCCAAACCAGCTGGGACCAGTGTACTTGATATATATTAAAGTGTATTTGACAGGTATTAATTGATGTAGAGTGGATAGTCTTAGAATATTTTAGTTTATTTGACAAAAGAATATTAAATTCCTTTCCATGTATATTTTAAAGTTTAATACAGAAATAATTTCTTAGATTCAGTTGAGTAGGAAGAACATTGTTTAAGGTTCTGCCTGTCTTGATAAACACATCTGATTTATACGATATATGATAACTCATTGTACAAAACTGTTCTTTTAAGCCACATGGGGATGACACATGCCTGCAATCTCAGAACTCGGGAAGGGGAGGCTGAGGCAGGATGATCACTGCAAGTTCAGTGGTAGCCTGGGCTGCATAGTAAATTGAAAGCCAGTTTGAACTACATAGTGTGACCCTGTCTCAAGCAAAACAAAACAAAACAAGACAAGACAAAACTTTTTTTTTTTTTTAAAGGCTTCCAGACAAGCTGCAGGGATTCCAGGGATTGCTCCAACTGAAGAAAAGTGAGTATACTTTTTGTACTAAAATAGTTCTTCATTTTTGGTAAGATATTTTTAGATTGGTTAAACCATATTTTTAGATTATCTTGTTTAATTCCTCGTTTACTTTAAATTTACTTCTGTACATACATTGTAAACTTTGTTGAGAACTAAAAAAAAAAAAAAAAAAAAAGAAAAAGAACTAAAAAGATGGCTGTGTAACTCCAAACCATTAATGGCTTTCGCTTCCTCTTGCCAGAGAAAGCTGAAAATAGACATAGAGTTTAGAAAGGAAAATGAATGCATTGCCCTAAGTGATCCCATAATCTTTAGCCTGCGCCGCCAAAGTCATAATCTGCACAAATGTTCCTAGTGTACCTTTCTTACTCACTTTGAAGTGTTATGAATTCTCAAAAAAAATCTCAGAAAAATCTGTAATAGATGCTTAGCAAAAAGGCAAATGTAATTGAGTTTTGAATTTCAGAATAATGTAAATGTCATGGAAATTTGTTACCTATAATTCAATGTCAACTGTGGTTTCTCTATATTTTTCAAGGTTAGTCGTTATACTGTTAAATGCTGTTTTATTTTTTAACAGAGATGGCAATCTTCCCGATATCTTGACCAGTGGAAGTCTGCATGAGTTCCTGGTCCATCTGCACGAGAGATGCGGGCCTGTGGGCTCTTTCTGGTTTGGCAGGCGCCTCGTGGTCAGCCTGGGCACTGTCGAGGTACTGAAGCAGCACATCAACCCCAACAGGATGTGTGAGTTCCATCTTCTAATTAGTTGACTTTTTTTTGAAGCATAAATGTTTGTAAGTAACTGTACATTGGTTTTGGATAAGTATAGGTACATATATTGAATGCCTTATACTACACAGAGTTATGGTCAGATCTTCATTTTACCTCACTTAAGACAATGTAGTAAAACTATATTTTTGATTAATTTATAGACTTATCCAATAAAACTTCAGGGTAAATTATAATAGGAGTTTTTGGAGAATCTGAATAATTTGAGATTTGAACCCCAGTTATATTAGCAAAAGTTTAAGGGTACATCATGAAGATTAAATATATAATGAACAACCAGAAAAAAATCTGAAAAGGACATTAATAAAGGAAAACCTGTAACATCATCTAGTGGTGGCAAACTTATGGCACATATGTTGCTTGTTTTTTCTTCTAAGACAAAAGATGTTAATTTGAAACTAAAACTCAGGTTGGGGATTTAGTTTAGTGGCTGAAGTGCTTGCCTGGTAAGCGTAAGGTCATGAGTTTGATCCTCGGTACAAACAAAACAAAACAAAAACAAAAATAACACCAAAAACCCAGTACTCAAGTTTAATTGTAGTGTTTCTGTCCTTCACAATAAATAAGTGGATTTTGGGTTTCAGGTTAGGCATGTGTCTCTAAAAGGTTCACCATCACTGGTATACTGTATTTTGAAGCTAGATTAATCTACAGGCTACTTTTTTGTCTTTTTGAGACAGGGTCTCACTATGCAGTTCAGGCTGGCCTTGAGCTCACTTTGTAGCCCAGGCTGGTCTCGAATGATTCTCCTGCCTCAGCCTCCTGAGTGCTGGGATTACAAGAGTGTGCCACCACACCTAGCGGTCCCATTTCTTTGTACCGCCTTATTTCTATCTTTTGGAATAGAAATGTCTATCTTGTGCCATTGAATGTTGGAAGTATTTAACTTTCTTTTCTTTGTATAAGGGCTCTCAGCAAAGAGTTTGCCTTAAATCTCAGAGGAAATTTGGGATTTGGCCTTTCCAGCAATGCTGAAATGACTTTGGCAATTCTTAGAGATGGACTAAATGCCTTTTGTGTAAAGGAATGTGCATACGTCTGTAGGGGGCCAGGGGCTTTGTGTCTAGATGTTCGCCCGAAGCCTTCTGTGATAATAGGTGGGGCTTTTTCTGAGGTGGCTGGCTCTACAGTGTGTGATGCTGGGATTAAGCAGGTCTTACAATTAAATCAGCCTTCTGAGTGGTTTGGCACTGCCTTAATCCTGGTAGCCTGGATAGAGTATAAAAGGTCCCCTCCCTAGCTTGCCTTGCTGCCTTCTGCTGCCATGAAGTGTTTCTGTTTTGTGCCACTTTGCCTTGGACCCAGCTGATTAAGAACTGAGACCTCTACCATCTGTGAGTGAAAGGAATCTTTTCTTCTTTAACTTTGGGCATCAGATATTTTGTCTTGGCAATGAAAGTAACTAACACACCCAGCACTTGAGGGGCTGAGGCAGGAGGATTGAAGTGAGTTCAAGATTAGCTTGGACTATATTGCAATATCTTGTCTCAAAAAACCAAAAATATAAAAAGAATGCTGTGGTCAGTTGACAACTGATGATCAACCTATAACACCCAGCTGAACTGAGTCAGTGTGGTGCTGGGTGTCGAGGCCCCTCCTGAGGATTGTTGCCAACAACATGAAAAGGAGAAGTGGAGAGGAAGGGGTGGTGCTGTTAGTTCTCTTGGAGAAGCTTGTCATACTGGCTTTCCTGATATAAAGTCAGCTGTTACCATCATCAGAAGAGCTCAGATCCTCGTTATCGCTGAGGATGGCTGCAGTTCTCTTTAGGGAAGCTCTGATCCTTACCTTGAGCGTTGCTTCCTGGCGCCAGTGCAGATCCCTCAGCCTTTTGGAACAGACCCTTCCTCCTGCTGGCTCAGTCTTCTCTAGCTTCTGCCATGGACCTTTGGCCTTCCCAGTGCAGACCCTTGATACTGACTTGCATAAGACACTGTTGTGGGCTCTAGGCCTCCAACTGGACTCATGGAGGAACATTGCCCTGGGCTCTAGGTCTTCTGGATTCTTGGGACATTGCCGTAAGATCCAGACCCTCAGCTGGATTCTTTGGGTCTCTATTGCGTTGACAGATTTCCTGCACACTTCTATATTTGACTCTTTGGGTGATTGCTATAAAACAATTCTATAAATTATGTGTCCTATATTAAATTGCTTTCCTTCCAAACCCTGACTACAGCAAACACGAAACTTGTAGAAAAATGGGCAACACCAAAATAATTACGAATGAAGAAATACAAGTGGCTAGTAAACATGAAAAGATTTCAAGTTAATCTGTTGGAAACAAATAAAAATGAGAGTTTCACCTGATTAAAAGAGAGGGAAAACACAGCTGAAAGTTACAGTAGATGAGGGCTGGAGAGCCCGGTATGAATTTGAGGTAGGCTCTGGATCAGTGGTCAAGTGACCTTTGACTTAGTAAGTCTTAGGGAATTCATCCATCAGATGATAATCACACACATGAGAAATGAATCTTAGTATAATAACAATTTGAAGCAGCTTAAATATTTAGCAACAGCTGAATGAAAGAATCTTTCAGGCTTACTATTATAATATAGGCTGATTTTATCAAGTATTTGTGGCAGATTTTACAGGCCAGCACTATTCTGCACCCCATTATATTACCTCATTTAATCCAAAGGACAATGACTTATAAAGTAGGCATTAAATGTCCCTATTTGTGGAAGACAAAACTGAGTTTTCCAGTGGTGCTGGTGGGTAGGGAGCCAGCTAGCACGCCCCAAACGGGCCTGCAGGTGAGCTGAGGCAGTACTCTGTGGAAGGGCAGGGTAGTTACTGGGGAAACCCAGCAGATTGGTCTTTCTGTTAAGACATGATAGTGGCTGTTTGAGTGTCTCTGAGCAGCGAGAATTAGGGTGAATTTTACTTTATATTTTTTTCATAGTTTGAATTGCTTACGTGGGTTTTTATTCTTCTTTTTTTTTTTTTTTTTTTTGTCTCTTTGAGGCAGAATCTCGCTGTGCAATTTAGGCTGGCCTTAAACTCACTTTGTAAGCCCAGGCTGGCCTCAGACTCACAGTGATCCTTCTGCTTCAGGCTTCCGAGTGCTGGGATTACAGGTTTGTGCCACCACACCTGGCTTCAGGGTGGAGAAATTTTTGAACTCAGATAATTTTAGATGTAATACTTGACAATCATGAACTTACCCATTTTGTCTTAATATGTGCTGTATCAGTAGAGGTTTTTTTTTAATCAAAGATATTGTAGTCACTTAGAAAATTTATGCCAGTGTTTATGACTCACAGTAGAATTTGCAGTCAGGATAGTGTGTTCTTGCCAATTTTCTTTGACTCTTGAACTGCTCATATTTAGAAGACACTGTTAAGGGAGTTGTGAGAAAATGATTGCTGTGATCGTAGCTGTCACTTCATCAGTTACCCTTCTTGATCTTGGGAGGTTTTGTTATTACTGTTTTTGGGTTGTTTTGTTTGTTAGTTTCTGCTTTGAGATAAGGTCTGGTTGTGTAGTTCAGGTCTGCCTGAACTCCCAGCCATTCTCCTGCCTCAGCCTCTTGCGTGATGGGAGTACAGGCCTGTGACACCACACCAGCAGGGTTTTAGTGATTATTGTGACATGTCTGTTTCAGCCAACCCTTTTGGAACCATGCTGAAGTCGTTGCTAAGTCACTGGCCGGGTGGTGGGACTATGGACGAGCACCACCTGCGGGAGCGGCTGTGTGACCGTGGTGTGACGGAGGCTCTGCACAAGAACTTCCAGCTCCTGCTAAAGGTGAGGTGCTGAGCAGGTCAGTCTGGGGACCGCAGCATTGGATCACAGTGTTGTTAAGCTTTTGATATGTGTCTTCATCACTTTTTCCTTGTCTCTCTAAGCAGATTGTTTTCTTCTCCTGAAATTTTAAAACAAAATGAGACACACAGAAAGCCCATACATTCAAAAGACAAAACGGCATTCTGAATTGCAGACTCACCCTGTAAGGATTTGTTTGGTTTTGGTTTGTTTCTGTGGTGCTGGGGATGTAACCCAGGGCCCCGCACATGCTAGGCAAGTGCTATACCGTTCAATTACATCCTGCATCTTCCTGTGTAACTGGAAGAATGGACCAGAGACCTGAACTTCTCTAATCTGCTGGTTTGTGTGTTGCTGTCAGGTCAGACTTTTTTTGTCTTGTTTTTTTTTTTTTTTTTTTTTTTTTTTGAGGTACCAGAGATCGAACTCATAACCTCATACCTGCCAGGCCCATCCTTACACCAGTGAGCTAAACCCCCAGCCCCTGTCTTGTTTTGTTTTTTTGAGACAGGGTCTCACTATGTAGTTCAGGCTGGCTTTGCTGTACTGGGGACTGAACTGGGGACTGAACTGGGGACCTTTTTAGGCAAGCACTGTACCACTGAGCTATACCTCTAGCTCTTCAGGCTGACCTTGAACTTGTTATGTAGCCCCAGATGGCCTCAAACTCATGGCAATCCTCCTGTCTCAGCCTCCCAGTTGCTGGGATTACAGTATGCACCACGATATCCAGCTCAGGCCAGAGTCTTAAGCCAGTTTCCCAAAACATGATCCAAGCTCATTTCAAGCAGTCCTTCTGATTGCAATACTGATTATCAGGCTGCTCCTTGTACATGTTGAATCACTGGAGGAACTTGGCCTTTTGAAGATCCACAAATGATTCACAGTGTCTGACAACAACAGTGCTGATCTGTACCATTTTGTTTTGGTCCCTAAGGGTCCCCTCTTGAGCTTGAGGTTACCTGACAGTCTTCTGTGTCCCCTCAGGACTGTCCCAAACCATGTTCTAATATTGCCAGTCATACCTCCACTAACAAACTGTCCATCTCAGTGCTTTATTCTTTTCCTGATTTCAAATCTTTCATTTTGTTGAGACTGGGTTTTACTGTGTAGTTCAGGCTAGTCTCAGACTCACTGTGTCCCAGGCTTGCCTTGAACTTGTGGCAGTCCTTCACCTCAGCTTCCTGAATGCTAGGTTTGCCATGTGTTCCGCCATGCCTGGCCTGATTTTAAATTTTACAGAATCATTTCTCCTTCTCCTCCTTTGTGTTTTTGTAATTGCAGAGGAGGAATTGAACCCAGGGGCTCACATAAGCTAGGAAAGTGCCCTACTATTAAGCTACACCCCCAGCCCTAATAATCCTTCCTTCCATCCACAGCTACCCTAATTTATTTATGAGTCCTCTTTATAGATGCCGCTGTGACATTGGTAATTCTGTGCAAGTTTGTCTCCTCCCTGTGGTGCATGCCCCATGGAAGGGGGATTAGTATTTTGATAGGTTTTGATTCCTAGTATAGAGCAGGCCCTCAGTAATATTTACGAAATCACTGAATACTGATCAGTTAAAGTCCCTCTGTTATAATTTATTAACCTGGATATCTCCTAAAGTCTCTTGTGGTTGTAGGTGGGCCCTTTGGGAGATGACTGGGTGGAGGGATCCAAGCTGTCTGGCTGTTGGGAGGTGGGGCCTGTCAGAAGAGGTGGTTACCAGGACATCACCATCAAGCAGGAGGTTGTGGCTCCCTTCCCGGCTCTTCCCTTGATGCTCCCTGCTTCCTGTCTGCTAGGCCATAAGCAGCTTTCTTCAGCCATGCTTGTCTTGTCTTGGAACCAGCTGATTTAATCCTCTACAAACTATGAGCCAAAATAAACCTTTCCTTTTTTAATGTGTGAGGACTGGGTGTTGTGTCTCCGTGAGAGGAAATAACTAACATACCCTAATTCTGGGCCTGGCGGTGTATGCCTGTAATCCCAGCACTGAGGAGGCTGAGGTGGGAGGATTGCTGAGAGTTCAGAGCCATCCAGAGTTACTTAGTGAGCCCAAGGCCGGTCTAAAATATGTAACAAGGCCCTGTCTCAAACAAAGCAAAGCAACAACAGGAAAAGTAAGATACCCTCAATTCTTTGACTCTTCTCTTACCTTCAGAGTCTACGCTTGCTGTTTTCCTCTGAAACATTGTTCCTAGCCTTGCCTGATTCTACTCCAACCTCTATTTTAAGTTAAGGTTGCTTTGCTTTCTCTGAATACATTCTCTAAATTTTAATGACAACCTGGGTAGTATTTACCTTACAACATAAATCCAATTTCTTCCATCTCTCTCCCTTCTTAGATTATGTTTTCCTTCTATTTTACCTAACCCATGCACTTAAAACAAAACTGTTTATTTTGTTGTATGTTAAATGTGGCTTGTTGGAAAACACCATTATTACATAGTGAAGAAGTATGAGGCTTAGGCATCAGGTTACAAGAGACTCAGAGTTTTAGTATCTTTTGACATCTGCATGAATCTTTGTGTTAATTGACAAAGTTTGTGAAGTTTTGTTTCCTCTTCTGTAAAATGAGATAATAGAAATCGCTGGGAAGATTCAGTGAGATAATAACAATACAACAAGCACCCAGGAAGTACCTCCTTTCTCTTCATGTGAGTAGTTTCTCTTGCTGTGTATTTGCTGTCGCCCTTCCATTCTGTTCAAGTAATGTTCTTCCTTTCTTAAACCTTTCCTGAAAGTTCTCTGAAGGTTCTCTGAAGATGCCTATTGTTATTAATATTCCAACTCAGAAGGTTGGGGATTTGGCACAGCGGTGTAAGCACCTGCCTGGCAAGCACCAGATTGTGAGTTTGATCCCTGTACCAACACCGCAAAAAAAAATTTCCAATTTGGTTAATGTATTTCCTCTTTTGTCATAGTCGCTTTAACATTACTGGGACAAATGCCTGACACACACAATTTAAAGGAGGAGAGATTTATTTTGGCTCATGTTCTTCAGTTCACAGTTGGGTGGCCGCAAGGCACACTCAGCTACTGACTCAAATGCCTAGAAGAATCCACTGATAAGTGTGGTACCCCCAGAATCCAGTCACCTCCCAAAAGCCTGCCTCTGAGTGCAAGAGATTTGGGAGACTTACTAGATCTAAACCATAACATCTTTCATGCAAAGCTTTATACTTGATGGGTCTGTCCTTGCTTCATCTGGAGGGCTACATTAAACATCTTTGTATGCTACAAGTATGCCTCTGCTTACTTCTCTTGTCTTCTTTGGATTATATTAAGGTATATTCCGGACATTATAACCATGAAGACCTGCTTTTTAAAAGGGCCCAAAATGTTTAGCATAAAATAGCCAGATGGACAGCTTCAGGCTTTTTTTTTTCTTCCCTTCTTCAGTAACTTTGTTTCTCCTAAAAATGTTCTAACTACATTATAAGCACTTCCCTAAGTTGCGTTACAAGTATACCTCTTGCTCTTGAGTAGCTATGAGGTTTGGTTTGTTTGTTCATTTGTCTGTTTTTTGAGACAGAATCTTACTGTGCAATTCAGCTGGCCTTGAACTCTATATTGCCCAGGCTGGTCTCAAACTCACAGCTCTCCTCCTGCCTCAGCCTCCTAAGTGCTGGGATTATGGGAGTGGGCCACCCTGCCCGGTTCAGGAAGGCATGTTATATACTTTATGGTTTCTGCTTTCAAAAGTTAGGTTTGGTAAATGTTTAATGCCATTTTTTCCTTATTGGAGTTCTGTTTGAAACTCACACTTCATATCTGAGACTGGAGGCTGGCTTTCTGAGTTAACAGAAGCATCGATTAACACATTAGTTCCCCTCTGCAGTTTTGTCTAAAGCCAAACTGAAGGCTTCTTAGGTCTCCTTCACTGTTTGTTGGTAACTTGTGGCCAGTACTCTCAGAGCTATGACGAGATTGCGTATCTAGATCTGTGTTTGGTAGCTCCGGGTTCTGCTTCACCTGTTCTCTGCATCTTAAGGGCTGCTAGTTGGGTTGCCGTAGCTATTTCTATGACTCTCACTGTTCTCCTCGGAAGTTGCTGTTACTGCCTTCTTAATAACTACAGTAAAAATCTTTGGACTCTGCTTAAACACCATGGCATTTGTCAGAAATGCTTTGTATTTAATTCCATAACTCCAAGGAATTTTTCCTGCTTTGCTCTTAGTGACAATAGAAACACCTTTCTCTTTTATTAGTATTATTAGTTTTTGTGGGGAGAGGGTGGATCCTGGGGATTGAGCTCAGGACATTTATACTGAGCACCATCTCCAATCCTTTTTTCAATTTTTTTTCCTTTTTTTTGGTATCAGGAATCAAACTCAGCATGTTGCACTTTCCAAGCAAGCACCATGCTGCTGTGCTATATCCCCAAGCCTTCTAGTCTGTGTTTTTTGTTTTTGTTTTTGTGTGTGTGTCTGGGATCAAACTCACAACCCTGTACTTGCCAGACAGGCGCTTACGCCACTGAGCTAAATCCCCAGCTCTGGTCTGTTTTTGTTAAGGTCTTCTTAACTCACTAAATTACCCAGGCTAGGCTCAAATTTTTGATCCTCTTGCCTTGGCTTCCCAGAGTGTTGGAATTACTGGCATACACCATCACACTGTCTTTCTCCATGTTTTATGACTCCCTCTATTTTCTTATCTTTTTTTTTTTTTTTTTTTGAGACAGAGTATGTAGTTCAGCCTGGTCTTGAATTCATGGCAATTCTCCTGCCTCAGCCTCCCAAGGGCTGGGATTACTGGCATGTGCCACTACACTCCACAAAATTTTTGTTGGTGCTGGACATCGAATCAAAGGCTTGATGCATGCTGAGCATGTGCTCTGTATCTGAGCTGCACTCCCAGACCCTAGACTTCTAACCCTTTTTCTTTATAATCCATTCTTCTCTCTGGTCAAAGACAAATCCCACTGGGAAATTTGTTTGCTGTTTTCACATTTTGTGCTGTTGTGATTTCAAGCTTTGTTTCACAGGCTGGGTCT